GGGGGGTAGCGCCACGGAGACTCTTGTACTCCCCCTCAGGTCATAGTCAAATTTTTTGAAGTTTTTCTACTATTTTTGATAAAATATAGGAATTATAGGAATAGTCATTAAAATATAGGACAAAATATAGAATTCTTCAAAAATATAGGAATTATAGGATTTATAGGATGAATCGGACCCCAGTGCGTAAGTGTTCTGTGTTTATCATCCTTCATCCAGTAACAATGAACTTTCACTATAATAGGCTGAATACTATACATTCACAGAAAACGATGATGCTATTGAATAGTCAACTATGTACCGCTACCAATCTTATTATACCATTGAAGCGCATCTTTTGCTGCCAATACCCACGTGACGTCAGTAGACACAGTACTTTCACAGAGAAAATGCAAACCAATCTTATGTACATCTAATGTAACTTTTACTAATCGTTTGATGAGTTTTAATGTCGAACATAATGCGATATATGTCATAAATTGTAAATGAAAAAAAAAGGACTGAACGATAAGATTAAAAATGAAAAACATGTGTGTGCAGCTGAATCTGTAGTCGAAGCTGGACTTAATAATAACTAAATTCTGACCAGCTCGACATTTTTGTCATAAAGAAATCAATAGTTCAGATGTGAAAGTATGAAAAGTTTGAGAATTCTAATATTTGTAAATGTACACTATGATAAATGATTTAAAGAAAACGAAATCGAACAGTTTTCTATGCTAAATTTGAATAATTTATTATAATAGTATTGTTATTATGAATGACATCTAAAAGAAAAAATATTGCTTATTTATTTTTAGTTATGTCACACATCAAATTCATTTCCAGGATTAATTGATGAACGAGCAAATGTTGAATGTCTTGGATTTGGTAAAAAGTCTTCTTTTTTTTTTTTTTTATTCGGATATTAAGAATTTAAAATCTCTTTTTCTCTTAGGATTTATTCGTTCAATTGATATGACTCGTCATGAAATTCATGTAATAATACCTGATCGTAGTATACCAAAAACAATGATCAATGCACTTATTAAAGGATATGATGATTGTCCTGATGAATTTTATTTTATGTCTATTGATCGAGTATAGATTTTCTATTATTCTTAATCTTAATATTATTTTTCTTTTTATTTCTAGTGGCGTGGTTATATGCCACCGTATGTAACTGGAATATTCAATTCTACAATGTGATTCATATAGAATTTATTTGTAAAATCAAACTAGAAGAAGATATCAAACAAAAAGAGATACTAACATTCATAGTGGATTTGTAAATTGAAATAAAAAAAAAAACTGTTAATATGTCACAAAAAAAAGCAAAAGAATTTTTTTTCTAATTGTCTTCATCATCAGAATTATCGGTTTGACGTGTAGATCTAAATCGATTTTCTCCATATTCATTTGTTGTACGTGGTAAAGAATTGTGATTAAGTTGATCATTTGAACGAGGCGTTTGATCTGCAAGATCATCGAGACCAACAAGAGGATCAACACTATTAATTTCATTTTCATGTTTAATTTGATCTTGTCGAGTACGATAAATTGTAGGTGGAGGTGAAGGACTATTTGAAGATGAACCTAATTTTAATTCATTACCTGGATCTAATCCTCGAAATATTTTTCTATAATGTGCATCATTATCATCCATACTTTGAAATGAAGGAGATCTTTCTTTATTTTTATTATCATCATCATTAATTTGTTGTTGTCTTTCTGAAATTTTTATTTCTTCTTCCTGATCAGATCTTGAAGAATCGATTGTTCGATTTTTTGGTGTCCCTAAAACAGCGCGTATTTTATTGTTGTTGTTATTATTATTATTATTCGTGCTGTTTCATATTGAAAAATTTTTTTAATGATAAAATATATATTCTTGACAGATTTTGACGCAACATTAATTGAAAAAAATTCTCATGAATATCTTGATGAATTATGTTCAGATAAAATATTTATAAATAAAATTCAATTAAAATATGAAAAAGATCATTTATGGTTTAAACGAATGGATGAATTTTATAAAAAAATTCATCAATTAAATATAACACCTGAACAAATTTTAAAACAATATGAAAATATATCATTTGTTCAAGGTGCTATAGATTTTATTAAAAAAATTCATTGTTTAGGATGGTTTTTAACAATTATATCAGATGGATATGATGAAGTTATATATAATGTTTTACAAAGAAATAATTTAATATATTGTTTTAATCAAATCGTATGTAATCCAAATATTTGGATGAAAAATAAAAGATTAAAAATTAAAAATTATGCAAAAGATAAAATTAAAATAAAACAATTTCATTGTCAATATGGATGCCCACCAAATCTGTGTAAAGGTACTTTGTTTTTTTTTTGTTTATAAAAGATTTTCTCCAATAGTTTATTTGAAAAAATAACGGTGAGTTAAATGATTATTTGGTCAGCAACTGTATTTTCATATAATAAAGAAACTTTTGCAAATAAGAAAAATATATTCAACATTTTCACCTGCAGTAAAATGTCTATATCCAGAAGTCGCACAAGAGTTTCAAGATTAGCAAGAAGTCAAAGTCTTCTAGAGGTGGTAAATAATTCAAAAAATCTTGGTAGTTTTATTCAGTTAATGATGAATACTTTTCAATTATTAAGTGATTGTATACTCTATCACTTTCGCGTCGTCTGCATCTCTCTATAATAAGTATTTCCTTATATTGGACCTTCTATAGTCTGCCCAAGCAAATTTTGCTGGAAAAATAAACTTCTCAAATATGAGTACCTCTTTATTCTAAACGGTGGGCACTTATTTCAGACCTTATAAGCCGTAACTACCTCCGCAATGTGAGTAACATATGTTATATTGCTCAAATGTAGAACAAGGAAAATGATGTTATATGTATTACGGTATGATAAACAATCATGAGACACATAGGAAAACTTTAAAAGTATTTTCGTTCCAATTGACATTTGAATAAGTTATCCAATTTTTAATATGTATTCGAATTCTGATCTTAAACTTCACGTGTATAGAGAACTCAAATAGGTTATCTTCCGTAGCAAGAATCAAAGTTTTGAATAAAGCTTCTTCAAAATATGAGACTTTAAAGACATAGATCCTCTTCCATGGATAGTGTATTCAACATGTATGGAAAATCTTGATATCTCGAAAAGACTTTGTTCAAAACTTCTATGGAAATTACTCTAGTTGAGTTCTCTATATGCACAAAGTTTCAGATCAAATTCCGATAGCTTAGTTAAATCCTTTTAGAGTTTTTATTAGAGAACACTATTTAATGTCTATAGACAAAAGAAATTATTGAAATCAGAAGAGATACACGGTAAGTCCATATTCAAAATTAGCACAAAATTCTATTCCTCATTCGTATCTTTGATGACTCTTCGGAACTAAATAGTTTCTAGAGGAGCAAACATTTTTGTCTACAAACTTTTCGATCGTCCGTTGTAATTGGGACGAGCATTTCTATTAGTTTTTAAATTAGTTTTATGAAAACTTATTTCTGATAAATTTGAAAGAAAGAATTATTCAAAGTTCTAAAATGTAATCTTAAATATAAATTTAGGTCAAATAATCGATGAAATTCGTTCAAAAAATGTTGATTCAAATACTCGAATGATTTATTGTGGTGATGGTAAAAATGATTATTGTTCATGTATTCATAGTAGAAAAAATGATATTATATTTGTTCGAAAAGGTTTTCCACTTGAAAAAATTCTTGAAAATAATTCTTATTCAATTAAATCAAAAATATTCTATTTTAATACATTTAATGATATTGAAAAATATTTAAATGAAATGAATATTAATTTAAATGTTTAATTTACCTTTATCATCTAATTCTTTTAATTGAATTTCAAATGTTTTTTCAGCACGAGAATTTGATTCATTTCGAATAAGACTTTCATTACATAGAAATGTTGTTTCATCGCCAGTTTTAACATTAATTAAAACAATCTTTAAAATAAAAATCAAAAATCATTTTTATTTAATAAAAAAAATTTTCTAAAGAAAAAAAAAACCTTTTCAAGTTTCCATGTTTTTGCTGTACTATGAGAATTAATATAACCAATTGTTAATTTCTTTGGTTGTTCATTAATATCTTGTATCAAATCAAGTTCAAATTCTTGTTTTTCACCTGAATCAAATGCTGGACATGGATGTAATTGATCAGTTTTATCTATTATATTTGTTTCTTTAGTTTGATCATTAAGACGTAAAAACATTTGACTATCTTGAATTGGATTAAATTCTCCATCATCATTATCTGATGGATAAATTATAACACGATAACGAGTTTTATTTTCTGAAAATAAAAAATAAAAAAAAAAAAGTTTTCAAATTGAAAAATAATAGACAAATGATTGAATTAACCTCTATTAGTAATATCATTACGAGGAGTTGTTTTTTCACTTTGATTTGATTGATTATCTACTGAATTTCGACGTGCTGAATTAACTTTATCTTGTGATTGTTTTGAGGAATTAGATGATCTTCTTGAACGAGAAGATGTTTTGACTGTTGGTTCAATTTTTAAAGACTCTTCATGATTTTTATCATTTGAATGTGGTATTGAACTACTTATATAAATTTTTCTTTTTTGTACAACTTTTGGAGATTGTTTATGGTCTTTGTCAATCGAAGATGATCTTGAACTACTTGAAGAAGATTTTCGTTTTAGTTCCATTTTTTGAGCTTGTTGATGTTTTTTGCCATTTGAAAATGAACTTGAACTACTTGCAGAACTTCTTCGTTTTGGTTTATCTCGAAGAACATTCTATTGAAATGAAAAAAGAAAAGAATTTTCGCGCTAAAGTACTCTGTAACTATTATGTGACGAGATTAAAGACGTGGGGAACAAAGTTTTTTTGGTTCCAGTCCCGGTCATAGTCACGGGAAATCTAGTGTAACCCTGATCTCGGTCTAGAGAAAACTATTCCAAAAGTCATTCGTATCACATCCAAAATAATTCTTTAATAACTGTTTTTTTTTCAGGTTATTTGGTGGACGACTAGCACTCTTTGAACAATCTTTTTCAATTATGTCCTCATTTAAATGACTTATAAAACGATTTGCTTAAAACCATAGAATGTTTTACTATCAACTTAAGTTCCGGTCTCGTTAAATTTTTGTCTCGTGGTCCTAAGATTTCTTATTAAATTTGTAGGACGATGCAGACATGGAAATTTTCACATGGGATAAAAGAAAATTGAAGTCTTAAGCAAAAAGTACATTGTGAAGATAAAATATTTTGTATTTTACAGATCTTTATTCGTGGTGCAACTTTTACAGACTCGACTGAATTTCTTCAATTGACTTACATCTCAGTTTGGGATGAAAAGAAAATCCTGATTGAATTCTGTTATAATCAGAGATGCATAGAAAGTGATTTTGATTTTAATCTCAATTTCGTATTCAAAGATGAAAAGTTATTAGAGTTAGAACTACATCTAACATCTGAATAGGCGTAAAGTTTGCCATGTATCGTTCTATTTTATTTAATATCCTGTTTGATCATTCTCTCATAATTAAAAAAATGCATGGACTCGGAAAAATTGGTTTCACTTATAAATCAATTGCCATTTCCGGTAAAACCCTTTATACTGATTAACACTCGACTTTAATAAAATATTGAAAAAAAACGTACCTGAGAAAGTTGAAGGGTTTTTTCTTGTGACGGACGAATCCATTGGTTACATGGAAATGTTAAATGAGATTGAGTTTCTGGATCAATGACTTCAATCTAAATAAAATAAATATATAATTATATATAATCAGTGTTTTAGCCAGCGTGGCATTCGAGAAAGTAACGTTCCTGTAAAGAGTACAATTCGCTCTTCTAGACTTTGTAGTTACTACACGACATATAATGTGTCTATACTCCCTCAAAAGTAGGTGTTGATTCTTTCAGAGTTTTAAATCGGATTTTCCAAAGAGAAAAATTTGGATAAAACACGAAATACAGCAAATCTTTTTTTTTTTGGAATGTTTTACATACATAATCAAGATACCATTGATAATCTTCATATTCGTCTTCGTCTTCGTCTTCTGTGGTATGAATTTTTAATCGAATTTGTTCTGGTTTTCCAATATTTTTAAATTCAGTTGAAACTGAATATTGTCTAGATGATTCTGATTTTTTTGTTAATTCTTTCATGTTAATTTCATGAATTTCAGTTTCATTTTCTTTATTATTTGTTAAAAATGAAAATTGTAATAAACTATTTTGTGGTAAAGAATTTTTTTGTTTTCGAATATTTTCTTTTGAACTATTTGATGTATAAAATATAATTTGCCAAGTTTTTTTTGTTGATTCTTTTCTTGCACTCGCTGATATTCGTCGATGTACCTAAAAGATTTAGAACAATCGAATATAAACAATTTTCATTGTATAATTAAACAGATATAATGAAGAACACTGTTAATATTTTGAAAGTTCATAACTGGTAAAGAACAACAATTCATTACTTAATCACAAAAAATACAAAACAAAATTTTATATTTTCTACGCAAAGGCTGGTAAAAATAAATTATGTTTTCATTAAGGAAAATATAATTTAATGTGAATTGCTCGATTTTGCTTATACCTGTTTAAGCTACTAGAGATGTTATGATAAGCTAACACTGAAATCTGTAAACAGTTGATCAATCTAGAGTAATGGTCGGTTATTTATATCATTCAAGCCTTCTTTTATTTAGAGTGATTGATACGATTAAAATGACAATAGAGAATGTATATTAAAGTCATTTTAAAAATTATTCATTATAAAAAATAAACTAATTGGCATATTGAGTAATCATATTTTTTTACATACTGAATAATTATTTTTATAATAATGAAATAAAGTAGTTCATCTTAAAATTATTTTGGAAAAGAAATTCATTATACATGAAACTATTTCAAGACTAATTTCAATATGAAAACAAAATGTCTTTAAAATAATTTTTAATCTCTTGAATTTTTTCGGAATTATAATAAAATAATAAAACCTAACCTTTGGTGTAGAATCATTTGATTTAGATTTTCGTTCCCTAATATGTGAACTTCTATGACTTGTATCAGTTGAAGATCCATCTCTCACTGATCGTTTTTGCCTATCTGAATCATCAAAATCTTCTGAATAATTTTCATCTAAATAAATTAATCATTATTGAAGTTAAATAATAATGTATATAGATGTATAAATGATATTTACTTGAATTAGATGCACGCCGGGATAGTTTTCTTTCAGATAAATTGCGTATTTTTTTATTATCGGCACCTTTATATCTAATAGGTATTTTTACAGAAGTTTCTTTCATTTTTGGTTCATCCGAAACAGGTAATGAAATCGTTATTGGTAGTTTATTTTCATCATCTCTTTCTTTTGGTGATTGAGCATATTTTTTTAAACGTGCTTGTTTCTCATAAAGACATCTTAATAGAAACAAAGAAAAAAAGGTCATATAATAAATAATTTCTTTATTTAAAACGTACCTAATACATGGTTTTGATCCATGTACTGATTTAATTGCAAAATGTCCTCGATCACCACCTAATTTAACACCATGACGATGTTTATATTCACAACATGTTGAAATTCGACTATCAATTAAACCTTTAACATATAATGATAAACCAAATGGATAATCTGAATGACGACGAGATTCAAATGTAAATAGAGCTAAATTAATATTAAAATGAATGTCGAAAGTAGACGAAAAAAAAGAATATAATACTAAACCTCCAGGCTTAAGATAATTTTTATAAACAATTAAATTTTCTCCTCCACAATGTTGTTGCATAACTATTATTTCATCAATTTGTTCAAATACTAAATGATCATAATCAACTTTTGTATGTGGACCATAATAAACCATTGTTATTTGACACGGAGATGATGTACATGAATCGATATATTTATTTGGTAAATGAGGTCGTTGCTTGATTGACAAAAGACAAAAAAAAAACGAAGAATTTACTCCTCATATTTCTATAAAAAAAAAGTATTTTACTGCTGACGATGATCGATTTACATTTGACGATTTTAGTCGTTGAAAAGAACGACGACGACGGCGAAGACGACGATTAGGATTTTTAGATGGATATTTTACACAATAATCATCACTAGAGTGAGCCGATTGTAACCGAGAAATACGAACATGTTCATTGTGCTTTAAAATAAATGAATTAGTTGAAATTTATATTAAAAGACAAAAAATAAATAAAAGATAAACCATTTCATTTTGCTGATTAGCGCTTTTTGGTCGTATTTGTGTACAAGATGAATCAATTGATAGTAGAGCCATATCAGTTGAATTCGTCATTAATCCAGATATGTTTCCACCACGTTTTTTCGATTCCTAAGAAAAAATTTTTTCTAATATAAAATTTTTTTTAAAATTTTTACTTTAATATTATTCACTAAAGCTGCTTTTGCTATCATTTCATATTGACGTTTCGCTTCAGCTTGTCGTGTTCGTTCCATATCAACAGCTCTATATATTTTCAATTGAGAAAAAATATTTCAAATCTTTTTTTGTTTCTGTCTTATTACCTATTTACAATATTTTCAGCAAGCATATGTCGAACATGTTTTACATGTTCACGTTGTACTAATCTTGATCGATATTCACCCTCGGATATAATCTCTCCTCGACCAGAAATCTAAATAAAAATATAATTTTTTCATAGTAATAAAGTTTAAGATACAAAATTATCAATTTACTAATCCAGCATGTCTTAAATGAGACCGAATACGTTCGTTACTAAAGAAACTTTGTAAATTTGGATCAGCTAGAGAATTATATGTAGCTAATGAACTGAATAATAAACAAAATGAAAATTTTGAAAAATAAATAATAGATAATTGATACCTTGGATCTAGATGGCTCATTCTTTGAGAAAAAGAATGATGTCAGGAAGTTGATAGTCAAACAAAATCACACAAGTCTCTCAATTGGTAGTTACTTTCTACAAATTTTAAACAAATATACACATACGCCATTAATCTAAACTGATTGAACTAGTCGTCTAACAACTGTCATTTGTTTATTATTAATTCTATTAAAATTAAATTAAGATTTTCTCTTTTTGTCTATAATTATTTTTATCATTCTCATAATATTAATTTTGTTGTAATTGTTTTAATTTAAGGTTTATGAATGTGGCTCCATCTTCAAGTGAAATCGTCCGACTAAATATTGCTAAAAATTTACGTTCTTTTCGATTTCTGTTCATGTTCAATATTATCGCCATCAGAACTAGTTTTCTCATATTGTACAATCACGAAAGAACACATATTCTGACAATCTTCCTAGTGTATGTACTAAACTAAGGAATACTTGTTATCAGTATAGCACAGGAAATTGCGTGTAATTTACGGGTTTTTTTTGCACTGATCTACAAAACTTTTTTAACTGTTCAGTCTACTATCTTGTTGGAAAATTTTCGATATATTCTCTGCTGATAATTGACCCAATACTTGAGTACCTGGAAATCAATGCATTCACTAGGGTTCTTAATTTATTATATATATGCAAATTTTCAGCACATTTTGACTGAACTTTTTCCTAAGTCGTTCATTGACAAGAGGTTTTTCACGATTTCAAAAGAACAAAATTGTTCACGAAAACTTTGAAGAATCTCATATAGGAAAATCTTGTCGGAATTATTTTTTTCGGATTTTTTATTTTATCAAAATATTTAGGCAATCAAAAAAATTGCAAAAATACTTCCGAAAATATTATCATACGGAGAAAGATTGATGTATTAAAAAATGACTAAAGTATGTTGGACTTTCATGATTTATTTGAGATCCATAGGCAAATCATCACATCTCCTTTCGATGTTATTACGAGTATTATATTCGAAACTAATCTATTTTATCAGTAATCACCTATTGTTTATTCAATATTTCTCTCTCTCTCTCTTTCTCAAGTCATACCTGAACAATTTAACCGGAGAAACAAATTGATTGATCTTCTAGTAGCAAAATATTAACTATAATCAATCAACGATTATTTTATTCTTTATTTTTGTCTTTACTACTCAGGATGAAAGATGATGATGGATGATATGATCTCTTTCTTTGTCTAATTTTCCATATAAAAGAATATGCATGTAGAAGTAAATCCTTTAGAAGAAAAGCCAACTTTAATCGAATAATCATTCTATAGAATATATTTATTAAACAGTTTAAATAATGGTTTCATTCATTTCTACTCTCTCACTTATAATATTTGTATTAATTAATAATTGCTATAATTTGCTGTTGGTTGAGGAACAAAGTTCACATTCAACATCTTCATCAATAAATGATGATTTAACTATAGAATGTGGATTTCACTTGTTAGTAAGTTTGCGTTGCTTTTTATATTTTATTCAAATAAAATTCTATTCTATTTTACGTAGTTGGTACCTGATGATGAAACACCTGTGTGTGTTACCAAATATAGAAATAAAATAAATCGATTATCAGATTAACATATGGGATATAAAATGTCAACTTTTACTGATAACCTATCAAAAGGAAATGATTTTCGACCATCAAGCACATTTGATAAATTTTCCGATTAAGAATCATTATGACTTATTATTTACTATAATTGTACCAATGACTCAAGTTAGTGAAGTCAAATCACAAAGTTTTAGAATTGAATTTAAAAGTGGAAATAGAACAGAACTGAAAAGAAAACTAATTAAATGAGTGTATTAACATCATTAGGTGTGACTCCCGAATTTTATACATCAAAATTATTAATTGTAACATCCATAGAAAAACATATTGATCTTCTTAAAGAAGCAAAACGACCAAAGAAATATATAAAAATAAAAAAAAAATGACAATATCGCAGTCAAAAATAACAACGACAAAAGAATCGACAGTTTGATCAAAAGAAGATAAAAACAAAATCAACTGTTTCAACAATTGCATTTTATCAAGAAGCATTAATTAAAATAGTCAAATATTCCAAATGACGTTATGATGATACTGGATGAAAATAATGATATGGATGTTACTAATCTGCCAGATTAATCATTTCAAACTACTATAAACAATGAAAAAGAACACAAATCGCTTAAACAAGATTCAACACATCATCTCTATCCTCTTTCCACACTTTTTATTCGTGCGTTTTTGATAGCAAACACAATCCCCTTTGTAAGTTCTTTTCGAAATGAAATAACATCAGCGAAAAAAAAAATATTCTTATCAATATCTAAATTTTCTTTTGAATAAGAATTGTTAGTATTCATTTTACATAAAGAATCATCATTCACTGGAGAGAAAGAGTTCGATCACTGAAATGAAAGTTCATTTTAATGAACATTATCAACATTATTCTCATCTATTCATTCATCTTTGAACAAGATCATGTAAAATAACAAACTATCTCTTTTTTTAATATTATTATGTATTTATGAATTTTCCTAAATTTCATTTTAACAATTATTTTTCTTTATGATTAATTTATTTTTTCTGAAATTCAATAATAAACATTTTTTTTTCTTGTTAATCGTTTCATGGCTTTTTTCCTTTCTTTGCTTAGTCAATAAAAATATCAATAATTAAAGAAAATAGGAAAAAAACATATCTAAGCAAATTTATAAATTTTATAAACAAATTAAATATCATTTTAAATATAAACCCAATTCCAATAAAATATTTATTTTAAATAGGTGAATATTCAACATGTCAAATTTGTTTATGTTCGTTTTGTTTTAGACGCATTGAACATTGGTTATTATATGAATTCGATCAGCTGCCATAATAGCTAGTACAATAGCAACAACTTGAAGTACAAGTGCCGCTTCAAATACCATCGAACTTCGTCCATTTAAATGAATTCCATGTGAAGCTTCGACTATTGTACTTAATTGAAAAAGAAAAGCAATAAATATTAATAATGGAGTAATATAACATGTTATTGAAGATTTTGATGGTAAAGAAATAAACGCAGTAAATAAACAGAAAAAACAAGCAACTAATTGAATAAATACACCGACAATAGCCAATGGAGCGGCATTAAAAAATCGTTTAACAAATATCGGTGGTGAATATGTCTCATTATTTATGCTTTCATATTGATTTTTTATACATTGAGAAGTACCACATGTTTGAAATAAACCAACACCGTATGAGCCAATAATTGACCCTAAAAAATAAGAAAACTTTTTTCTTGTATTTATTTCATAATTGATCGCTTACATTCAGCAGTAGATATGCTATATAGTGACATGATTACACTTGTTAAACAAAATAAACCAGCAATAATAAGGAGAGCACAGATTTTTTTATCGACCATTTTAATCAATATTTGACCAAAAGTATTTTAACTGGATTATTTTTACGATGAGTTCTATAATGTACATGTACATAAATTTGTAAGCAAACGAAATAATGTTAAGACTCACGTTTTTCTTTCGATGTTTTATGCGATTTAAGTTAAATAAGAATTAAAATAATATTCCGAGAAAGACGAAATTTTATGAGTCAATGATTAGGTAATAAGCGAGACAAACACAAGAAAAATAATTGTCATATAAATTCATTCATAGAATAAGATTTAGGTTCATTAAATACTTTCTCGTCGTGTCAATCAATATAAGTTGAATAGGGTTACAAGATCTTTCAACTTTATCACTTACTTGTTTCTATGTTTTGATACTTCATATTCACTGGGAAATAAAGAGAGCCTTCTGGCACCATCTGTAAGATTAATTTTTATTCATTTTATTTAGCATAATTATATATTCTGATTATATGCATATGATGAATTTTTTTCTTGAAACTATCTATCTTTGATTATTAATGGTGATAATACAATGATAGTTTTTTGAATAATTCAAGTAATATTGATGTTTAATAGCAGTTTAATTGGCACTATCGATGTTTCATTTTTAATCATTCATCAAGAAAATATACACCTTCATTGTTTAGGTTGATGTAAATGTTACAGATGACGAAAAAGCGATAGTTCCAGCGAATATATTTCTATCATTACCATTGAAAAATAAATGTGAATAAATTGTTGAAAATGTTATCCATAAAATAAGGGAGCAAACAAGACAAAAAACGACCTATTCAATGTCTTGTCTCCTTTTATGTTGCCGTTTATATGTCATACTCGAAAATGTGTACATATAGTTAGAAAAGATAATAAACAGATCATAAAGTTTTAAGCTGAAAATAGCGTCACATATGCGACATATGTTACATGGACTCATAATGGTTTCATTATGACGAGTTCCAATTTTTTTGTGATCAGACCTAACTAAACAAAAACAAAAGAAAACTAAATCGAAGACAATCAGAGAAAAATTTAGCAAACGAAAAGAAGCGACAGAGAGTGTACGTCAAAAATACAATAAAGTAGAAAACGAGAAATTCATGAGGAGAAAAAGAGAAAGACATAACATTCTTTTTTCTTTGTATAGAACTATTTTGCTTCAGTAAACTATACCCATTCAAAAAAAATGACTCATACTTGTCTATAAATTGTTTCATACGACTACTAAAAAATATTTGGTTTAGGTGATCATTTTCTCTTTCATGAAAATTATCCCAAAGAAAAATATCATTCTATGGAGGTTAAAATCAAGATTTATCTTGTGCATTCATTTTATTCTTCTTTAAGTGTAGTGTTCAATATAGATATGCAGAGAATGTTCACTGGTGATACTGTAGAGATTACGAAACAAAAAAGAATCTTTTGATGATAAATCAACTTTTCTACTTTCTTGGAGAAACGCCATAAAATCAACGAAAGATCGAGATATCCCTTTAAAAATTTACATTTCTCAATTTACCATGTTCCTTCGAACCAGTAATATCAAAAAAACTCGACACTCAAATTTTTTGAGCCCGTTGAATGAGTTGATTAGAAGTTGGTCAGTATCGATTTATGAACACTTCATGAATTATAGTTATTCATATTATCATCTCACAATGCAGCAGCCTTCAGTGATGAAATGTGCGCATGATCTTTTGCTTTGGACTTACTACGTAAAGAAGAAATTGCTGGTATAGTTCAATGGAATTGTCGATTCTTCGCCTCGAAACTTCGAATGAGATTCTAAAACATTCTCATATCTGATGTGAAAATATGAAAAATCGTATAAATTTCTGATAATAATACTTGAAAATGTAAAATTTAATTTTGTAAAATTAAAAATCTTCTGAATTTAATCATAGTCAAATTGTTGAAAACTGTTTCGAAAAGTGGATTTGATCTGCAATATGATCTATTTATTCTCTTTCGTTACAAAATCAGACAATTTGTAGGTTAAGAACAAATTTTCACTGTACAGCACTTTGAAAATGTGTTATGATCTTGAGAAAAAACCTTTATATGAATGAAATAATGTTACTCTTCTTCATTTTCTAGACGATTTATGCTTCAAAATATGTGTAGTGTTTGATTGACACTTTCCATTTGCAAAATTTGAAAACTTTCATAATGTATTTCTTTATAATATTCTCTCATGTTGTAAAAAAATGCTTAAAATTAAATTCAATCCTAAAATACATATGAAATGACTCGATACGTATTTGAACTCTCCATAAATACTCAAGTTTCGATAAAGTTCTGCTCGGATTTTGCTCAATGCTTGGAAAATTCTATATACGTCACTCATATGAATAGAATTAAATTATCGTTTGCTGCAATATCAAAAGGTCAACGACACATTTGGCACAGTTTTGTGGAGGATGTGTCTTTCTTGTTTGAGTATATACTTCAATATTCATTGAAGATCATGTTTCACGATAGAATCAACATTAATTTTCACACATATCAGTGTTGCATTTATTTAAATAGTACATATCCTTATGTTAGTAAACTTTGATTGATATTTCTTATGTCTTAGTTTTTCTTCCACATCATTTGACATATACTTATGTGTACAATCAATTTGATTTCACTAGTTTATTAAATATTGATCGACAATATTTACTTACTGAAAATGATCAAAGATATTTTTTTATTCTCAAAAGACAAAACAAACATTTGACAACTATTAGATGAAGGTATCATATTATAAATAAACAAATAGTTTTGCATTATATATTTTTAATTAGGAAGAGAAAAA